TGGGCAAGAAGCCAGGAGGTCCACCCCCGGACTTCCGCCTCTGGTGATTCGAGCAGTTGTTTAACTATTTGCAGCACCCCAGCTTCGACAACAGCTCTGGCTCCGTCCACGTCGGCGCAAATGTGGGACAGTGCGTAACATGCACATTCGACGATGTCCTCATTGCTGTCACTAAACACCAATTGAAGAACAAAATCTGAAGGTTGCAGGAAAACACACCCTAAGAAAGTGACCAGTCGTGCACATGGCCGCACAGCAACCACTGCTCCCCGCGTCGATGGATGGCCTGCGAGCTTGCCGAGGATCCAGAAGGTCCATCTTCGTATTGCATCACTTGTTGAGTCCAACAGTATATCATACAACACAAGAAAGTTTGCTACAATATGGGCCTCGGCCTCGGCTTGAGCCCTTTCTTGAAGTTCACGGAGAATGAATGTCTTCGTTGTCTCCGTCACATATTTCCAGCTGATGTCATGCCAGTAAGTGTCCATACTCAATCAACCGGAGAGCCCCACATACCCCAGATAGCTTTCATAGATTTCCATTGTCTCTGCTGACAGCGGGACGCCCTTTTGTCGTTTTATCAAGTTCAACACCGCGCGGTGATACATGAACTTCATTAGAGGCTTTGCCAGTGCATGTATTGAGAGTGTTGCCCCAAGATAACTATTGGACCACTCGCTGTAGAGGCTTTGGGGCGTGCGCTGGCGAGTCAGTGGAGGCATCAGAAAGGATGGAGCAAAGCTGTAAGACAGCCATCCTGCAGCCTCGAGGCCGTGTTTCCGGAACAAGCGGCCACCCTAAAATACCCCAGTCCTTACAATAGCGGATGAACGTTTGTCCAGGTTGCCACTCAGCGGCCATCGTTTTTCTTCACCCTCCGCAAATACTCGTATCAAATGTTTCTGGTTAGCAGTCTTACTAAACCAGCCACTTAATCCGTGAGCTGAAATACAACGCCCCCGTACGTGAGACACACCGCTGGGCCCTCACTTTGGAAGGGATTCAAGTTAGCTCCGTAACTCAAAGTACTGTACCATTACTGTACTATTTCGACCAAGTGTTCATCAATTTGGAAAATTTTGATCTCCGGGATGGCCGATAAATTTTCTTTTGGTTTAAGGTGATTTTAGCACACATCAAAAAAAATCGGGTGTCACCGTCACCTGAACACTTGGTCGAAATAGTACAGTACGTTCAAATCGACAGTCACACGTCACACACCCCTCTGTCGATACTTTGGTCGCGGTCACGTGTCACGGAGACCGGTGTCGAATAGGTCGAGCGGTTCGTCACGCCGCCGAAATCACTGCAACTCCCTGCCCTTGCTGAGTGTGTTTTAAACCAGTTTCTGAACCATTCATACCTGCAACTGTAAAATTTGAGTGTGTGGTTGGGTTTCTGGCCTAAAATTAACCTAAAATGGCCTGCAAAAAGAACTCAAAAGAAAATATCAATGAGGATTGAACAAGCTTTGCAAATATTTTGTGCTATCCCAAGAAATTACCTTCAACGGAATAATAAAATTTGCCGCTCATGTCGAATTTTTTCCCTTGTCACGCACCTTTCGGATGGCTGTCGAAATGTCGAATTCGTCGAACCAGTCACGCGTCACCCCCCTTGTCGATTTGAACGTAATGGTACAGTATGGTGAAAAATTCAATATTGCCCCAAACCGAATTTTACATGTCTTGTTTAGGACCCAAGTTGAAGTTGAACTTAGGGTGTGACACGGGCGATACCACGGGTGTCACGGGGTTATACCGTACCCGTGCCCGCAAAACCTGTCACCCGTACCTGTTACCACGCATTACCGCACTTTAATTTAAAAAAGGCCGGAGCACACAGAGGTAATTTTTTCATATTGGACTCAGTTCTCGTCGAAAAATTTTCGGTGTTTACGATAATTGGAGCTATGAACGCGTGGAGCAGGTCTAGGAGCAACCTTGGAGACATGGCGTCGAAGACTGATAGAGAATGTGCCCCGAACCCGCAAAATCTTTGTTTTATTTGTTTTTTAACACACCAATTTGGTCACACAACTCACATCTTGCACTGTATATCTAATTCCACTCTCAAATCCTTCTGAAATTTTCACAGAGCAAAGTAGACAGCGGACTGGGTGATTGAAGGCAGTTGAGGTGACCGCGCGGAACATCGTCCTCTTGATGTCTGTTCATAGAAGTCCTTCTGCTTCCCACTTTGCTCTGTTCAAAGGTATGACTCAGTGAATGGTCAAAGTAGATGCATATACAAAATTCTAGGCAAATTGGTATGCTGGAAGAAATGAACGGTGAATATTCACCATTCGGGGCATCTTTTCACTCAATGTTTCACCGTGCTCTCTTCCAATTTTGTTTTAAACCTGTTCTAAATGACGTTAGCTTTAATCGTAGCCAATACCGAAAATCTTTGGAGCAGACTGAGTCCAATATGAAAAGATTAAATTTTTCAACCATTTACTTCCCGGAAACATCCGAAACCACGTAGCTGCATCATGCACAAAGGACAGTCCGAACCGTCAAAGCAGCCGGATTTATGCAAGTGTTGCCACAGGTAGGTTGATTGTGACACGTACGTGCTACTGCATCTGCAAGTGTTGCCAGAAATTCTGCCAGTGTTCTCGAAATTGAAAAGAGTCACCGTGGACCAGACTCCTGCCTCGTCTCTAGTCTCTTATTAGTAAACAGATGCTACAGCGATAAACTCGTACCTCGTTAGCCTCGTCTCCAGGAATCAAGTTCTCGCACTCCCAGCTAGCTGCCGCCTCTTCTTTGATGTCTGCTCCGTTTGATTGGGCAAATCCATAGTGCCCTCTGTCACCGCTGCTGTGGGAACATGTCGTAACGCCGGGAAAATTTTCACGTTTTCCGCATACATCTGAATACCGCTGTAAGCGACCACTACACATCGAATGACCCGCCCTGGTTCCAAAATTTCGAACCGAGGACGTCGTTTTGACAGTGATTGTGTAACGCCCCACTCCCTCACGCTCGTTTATTTTCCCACATCACTATCCCGTCAATCTCTCCTTCCCTTTTCGCTCTCTCAATGTTCACTTATCTACTTTTCAACCATCATTCCTTTACCCTCTATTTTCACCTACCTCTGTGAGATCCGACGTGGCTAGATCGTTCTTTGGTCAATACTATTGTTATACCACTGATCTCGTTGGACCAACCAACCAGCCACTCTCTCTCTCTCTCTCTCGAGAACTCTTTGTGCCGGGACTAGCCGCCGAGTTTTGCTGACAGCTCCCCGTCACAGATTGCTTCAGTTCTTTTTTGTATATCCTGATTCTCCTCTCCAAAATAAACTAAATTAAGGGTGGAGCGGGAGCTACTAGGCCAAACTTGATCTCGAGAAGAATTTGGTTGGGTCTCTCGTTTTTTCTTTGAATAGGCCTAGGTGGAAAACCAAACCAAACCAAGAACAGGCTTGATATTGAGTGAGTGAGCCAGTCCTGATTGAAAGAGGGAAGCTCAGAGTCGACTCTCAGAAACAAAGCAAAGGTTTGGGGATTTGATATGGTCCACTACCCGGTCTTGTGTATTTAAATTCTGAATCAGGTCTAGGTTCAATGCGACCCTTGTGGTGGTTGCTTAGACATTAACGTAGCTTCAGAGGCACCAGTGATTGTTGATGGGAAGTTGGATGCGCTGAGAGACAAGTAAATAGAACACTGGGCTGGGGTGGGCTGTCAACCACCAAATTAAATACTTAACCTTGCCACGTTGAAGCTCCCTCCTGGTTTTGCAGAAAAAAGTGGACTTTCCGCCGACCATTATAACACAGCCCTGGTTCGAACAGGGGACTCCCAGTTGAAGGCATTACATGACAGACCGCCGATACAACATGCGGACATGCACCACTGGGTCTTGTTAGTCACTGGCAGTCTACAGTAATACTTGTCGGGGTTTCATCATCGCTGCCTTAGGTCGGCACCCCTGAATTTTCCGGCTGAATCTGGCCTGAATTCCTTTTGTGTCGGATTTTCGCACATATTTCGTCCCTCAGAATAGAAACAAAGTAAGCTTACACAACTTTCGAAGAGGCGGGGTGTATGCGATGGAAGGAGGTCAAAATGTGGTGACCGTTCAAGAGATCTCCACGAAAACTGGGGGAAACTTGGCCCAATATTTTTCTAGCCCCTGCTGCCCTCAGATTCTCACAAATACACCTCTTTGAACACTCTGGAGTAGTTTAGAGACGGGTATGATACCCTCAAAAAATTCAACCAAAATCCATGCTTGATTTAAGGGGTCCCGATCAGGCCCTTAGTCGCCATCTCGGTCAATGGCTGTGTTGATATTGAATGACCCAGTCCGATCGTCCAGGAGGGAATCTCATAGTTTGATATGGTTAACCACCAGGTTGGCAAAATCAAAGCTGCATCCGGATTTTGCAGAAGAGAAAGCTTCGGCAGCCCCATACATGACCCAGCCCTGGTTCGAACAGGGGACTCCCGGTTGAACACGTTACATAGCGGTCATACTACAAGTCTTACTCCTCATGATCATTGGCCGTGTACTCTAATATAATATGTAGTGGCCTGTTTTGGGCTTTGATCATGGCTAGCTTAGTCTCTATCTTGGTCAGATGTGGGCTGAGGTGAGGAGACGACGTGTTGGACGTAAAAATTAACGACAAGACATGGAAGGACTGAGGTCCGATGCAGTCATGCTGGCATCATTTCTACTAGGCAATCGATTCAGGTCTTTCTGAATATCCTGAATCTCTTCTACCCGTATGTTCCTTTTAGGGACCACCGCGGTTAATACACCTCCTCCTCCTCCTCCTCTCCAAAATGAACTAAATAAATCTAAGGGCGGAACCGTGACGGGAGCTAGCCAAACGTGATCTCGAAAGAAAATTGGGTCAATATGGGATTGTTGATGGTAAGTCACGGCTTAAAGATTTAAATTCTCAACCTCGCAAAGTCCAGGCCGCATCCTGATTTTGCGTTGCAAAAGAAAAAGAGATTCTTCTCGAATACCACATGACCCAGCCCCGGTTTGAACAGGGGACTCCCACGCTTGGAAGCACTACACACCGCAGATCCTACAAGATGGGCGTGATTTCATTCCACCACTAGGCCTCCGAGCTGGCAACCTACTCTGGGTGGGGTTTAATCATGGCTGCCTTTCGGTTTCTATCTTAGAATGGCTATGGGCTGCGGCCTGAGGAGAGGATGTGTTGGACATGAAAATCACACCCTCGCGACGTAACCGCTAGATTTAATTCTCAATCTCGCAAAGTCGAAGCTCTCTCCTGATCTTGCAGAAAAAAACTGGATTTCGCGGCCTGGTTCGAACAGGGGACTCCTGGTTGAATACGTTACATGGCGCCGATCCTACACAACGTGCGGGCATGATCTTTTCACCACTGGGTCTTCTAGACCTCAGCGTACTCTAATACTTGTCTGGGTTGACCTTGCATCATCGCTGCCTTAGTCTCCATCATGGTCAATGGCTGTGTTTAACCACCAGATTAAACTTAAATTCTCAACCTTGCAAAGTCAAAGTTGAATCCTGATTTCTCAGAAAAAAAAAGAGAACTGCCTCCCGACGACATAACCCAGCCCTGGTTCGAACAGGGGACTTCCACGGTTCAACGAAGAACGAACGAGGATACAACGTGCGGGCGTGGTTTCATTTCACCACTGGGTCTTACTCCTCACTCGCAGCCTAATCTAATACTTGTCTGGGTTGGGCGTGCATCGTGGCTGCCGTAGTCGCCATCTTGGTCAATGGCTGTGTTGACATTGAATGTCTCAGTCCGATCGTTCAGGAGGGAAGCTCACAGTTTGATGTGTTTAACCACCAGATTAGATTTAAATACTCAACCTTGCAAAAGCAAAGCTTTCTACCGATTCTTCAGAATAAAACTGTATTTCGCACGACCAATGACTCAGCTCTGGATCGAACAGGGGACTCCCACAGTTCAACGAATCACAGTACGAGGATACAAGGTGCGGGCATGATCTTTCACCACTGGGTCTTACTTCGCACTGGCGGTGTACTCTAGTATGTACGTGCCTAGGTTGGGTTGGGGTTTAGTCGTGGCTGGCTTAGTCTCCATCTTGGTCAAGAGCTGTGTTGACATTGAATGACCCAGTCCGATCGTTCAGGAGGGAAGCTCACAGTTTGGTGTGTTTAACCACCAGATTATGTAGTCTATTTTCCACCTCGCAAAGTCGAAGCTGCAGTCATTATAACAATATTGCAAAGAAAAAAAAGTGAATCTCCAGCAAACTATGATAACCCAGCCCTGGTTCGAACAAGGGACTCCCACAGTTCAACGAAGAACGAACGAGGGTACAACGTGCGGGCGTGATTACATTTCACTACTGGGTCTTATTAGCTTACTCTCACACTTACCTTGGCTTAGAATAAGGACCCCGAACAATCTCTTAAGCGGCCGCCCTGGTTCGAAGTTTTCGAACTTGAACCGGGGAGGTCGTTCAGCATCATCCATCCAGGGGCTGCGGGGGGATAAGTACGTTTCACCTCTCCTTCTATCCTGATTCTCTTCGCTGCTGTTGACTCTTGCGGTACTTACCTATTCAGCTTGAACATGCCGAGAAGTAGACTCGTTACCAGTCTGCGCTACGGCAAAGGAAGGTGATGAGGTTGTTTGCCGTAGGCAGACTGGTACAACTCGGGCCACGCCAAAGGGCTGCGCCCGGAGTTTGAATTTTTGGCGGGGGCCGAGGGTGCCGATCGGGTGGCTGTGTCGAGCCATCAATTCCCCGCCAAAATTAACTTTTGCACAGCTCAGCCTCTAGGGCATAAAAAAATATTCTGAAGAGACAGAACTCAAGTTTGAAGGGACTAGATTACCGATTTTTGAAAAAGTTTGCAGAGACCCAGTAAATTGAGCAAAATCCAGCTTCGGGGAGATTTTTTCAAACTCCGGGCGCAGCCTTCTGATCAAGCCCGAGTAGTACCAGTCTGCCTACGGCAAACAACCTCACCATCTCTTTTGCCGTAGCGCAGACTGGTTACGAGTCTAGCCGAGAAGGACCGGCAATCAATAGACCCATCAGTTGGGATTGTTGTGGATGGCCGGGCTTCAAGTTGCGACCCACCATCATCGCGACGCGTCGTAGCCTTAGCTTCAATGGACGACAAACCGACAAACCGACAAACCGACCAATGCTAAATGACGCACATTGAATGACGCTTCTCGACGCCGAAAGAAGTTCCGTGGGATGCGTTTAGTTCCTGAGTCTTACATGGTGCGTAGTGCGACACGCGCGCGCTCGAGCAGGGTATGATCATGATATGTGCCGGCTCTGTCTGTTCTTAGAGGTGCGTTGCCTGCCATCTGGCCGTCGACATGCTGTTTATGAGCTGTCCGCAGGCCCTGGCAAAACAAGCCGCGAATAAGTGAGGGTCCTCCTTCCGCCCCCGACTCGTGCTTTCCCCAGACGCAGCCCACCGTTCCGCGCGGCCACCGTGCGCGTCGTCCGTCCTTCTCCGGCCCCCTTTCGACTTCAATTCGTAGCCAGCGGCGGGTGCCCATCGCGTTTTCCACACTTTACTTTTGACAGCTTAGCCGAGCTTTTCACAAACAGAACGTTAGTTCTTTTGTGCTCTAGAGACCAAAAATGTCCGCACAAACGACACGTGCCGGTGCAAGAAACGTGACCCACTTGTCATTAGGCTGACCAAAACTGTTTGTGCCCGCCGCTTGTCGGCAACTTCCAATCATTATTAGCTCGGCTAAGCCAACAAAGCCGAAAAGTCACAAGACCGCAAGCTATGTCAAAAAAACCAAAAGACACAAAAAAAAACTTTTTTGTGAGTCATCCCATTGAAGTCTAGACATCATTTCTGCAAACTTTTTTTTTTACCAGAAGAGAAAAAGACCCAAAAGTCGCAAGACAATTGTGCTCTTGCTGATGCCCTTGTATACCCTCAACGTCACAGGGCCCTTACCCACCCGCCGGCCCTACGCGCGGCGATCCATTTGCCTGCGCCGTCCGTCTGCTCGTTGTCCTTCACGCACTACGCCCACCTGTCATCCGCCCTCCCCGCCTTGGCGCGCGCCCGGTTTTCGACTTTCAAGTCGCTTAGCTCCTCGTGCATGCCCCGCCCTCCGTCCTGTGCATACTCGAACCCGCCCACGCGCATCGTACGCGTCTTCTGCGTTCCCGCCGTCAAGTACCCCCATCATCCGCGGCCGCCTCGTTCTCCAATCTCACTGCGCCGCGGCGGCGTGTGCTTCCGCCCCCATCGCCGTTCCGCTCGACATGCATGCGCCTGCCCCATCTAAATCCACAGCAGTGTTGCCTACGCTGCACGAAACGACCCTGCGCTCTGCACATCCACCGGGCCGGCTCCACGGGCGTCGTGCATACACCGCCGTTGGCGCGACCTCGATCCACGACAGGACAACAGCGCGTATTCGTATGGATGTCGCGCCGGCGTCAGCCTGCACGATATCACGCTCAGTGGCCATCGTGGCCGGCGCCGCACGATCGATTACGACTAATTCGCCAACAGAGCGGGCGGCGTGTGCGCGGGCTCGCTCCCTGTTATCGTGCAGCTCTCAGCTCCCTGGCCATGGTGCCCTCGCCGCCGATGACTGCGATGACGTTGGCGTTCCCATTCGACGCGACGGGGCGTGCCCCTTGCGTCGGCTTGAGTATCAAGAACTTGGGCGGGCGCGCGGGACTCGGTGAGCTCGCTTCCTCGCTTTTTGGTCTGTGCTGGAACTCGGGCGGGACGTAGATATAGGGGACCAAAGTGATAAAGGTACGTGTTCATCATCACTCTCTTGCCAGGCCCTCGCTCATGAATATTGGCAGCCGTTTGTACGAGCACCCGCGCGCCGTTTCGAAGAGACGCTTGGAACGTGGGTGGACGACCTCTTCCTTTCCTCTCCTCGCCCAATACGGTCCATTATCCTCTCCTCCGGATCCCCGTGCCTGCTTGCTGCCCGCTTCGTTCTGTACCGTGCATACATATCTCCACCGCATCTCCCCCGCCTCGGACTACGTGCCTCCAAACCGACGTGCATGTACCCCTACGCGCGCGCGTATATCCCTCTCCCGATTCGCCTTGTCGTTCGCATTTACGACTGGGTTAGGGTTATCCCATCAACTTTTCGACTCACCTCATCCCATCCCATCTCGTTTGGACGCGGCGGGCGCACGTCCCCCATCCACCATCGTCCCGCGCGGGTCCGGGTCGGGCTGCACGTCGGACCTGGGTGCTGCATCGCGCTCAATTCTGGCTCGTCGACATATCAGTACTTGCGGATTTCAAGGGTTCCCACTTCCGCCTCGAACGCGCAGCTCCTTGCCGCGATCGCCATTAGCATCGTTGTCACGATTCCGATCCACACCATTCGCGGTTCTTGATAGCATTGGCGTCCGCGTCCGCCCTACCTAACCCAAGATCATGATGGCTTCAGCCTGTAACATCCATCCTTCTCCTTCTTTCGGGCTCCACTGCCTTCGCATCTCGAGCGCGGACACCTGTGCTGGATCGTACACCCGCCCGTCGTTTTCCGGCGCTCTGCCCTCGCCGACTATGTCGTTTCCGTCGTCGGATACCTTAGGCGCTTATCCGGCGCTTATATCGTCGGAGGTGTAGAGCGGGAGAATTCGGTGCTGGAATTTGGGGGTGGATGGAGGTGGGCGAGGGTTGAGACGTGCGTAGATGATTCGAGCTTCCGTTTCTCCCATCTTCTCGAGGGGATAAAGTAAAGTGGAGGTGCGCATTGCATTGATTGACCTGACTTAGTCTCTCTAGACAGACGCTCTATAAAAATTGCGCTCGTACCTTGCGTTATAGAGTCTGTTAGTTACCGCGTTAAATAAGCGGTGTCCAGTGTTATCAAATTGATGGCCGATGCACGACCAAATAACGCGTGCATTTTACTGTATTTCACGCGTCGACGCCGGATAAGGTGTGACATTTGGGAGTAAGAGTCATTGGACACCCTCTTGAGTGTCCTGCTGGAGGATTAGAGGGTCCACGGCCTTCCTGCGTGCAGTTCGGACATCAAGCACTCTTTTCGGCCGAAACGGGCAAGGAAATTGTAATTTCAGTAGTTTAGCCAGTCTTCTCCGCAGATTGACTGCAGATATATTGTGTCATACAATAGCAGGCATTTGGGATATAAAAATGTGCATTTTTGTGTTCGCGCCGCGTCAGAACAGGTCAGAACGCGTTAATCGACCACTCACGTGGTTTCCCAAAAAGGAAAGCTTACATAATAACCCTGGTCGCCTACTACGAGAGCGTGGTAACCACAGGACTAGGCCTGACTTGGGTCCCGTCCTCATCTCATGGATCCTCCTCACGTCGTGGATTCTGTGCATGTGCCTTCGTTTAACACGCGTTGTCGAACGCCCCGCCCGCGGGGTCTTTCCATCGATCGCGGACGAGACGAACCGCGCGGTCTTAACCCTGGCCCCTGGGTCAGCGACACGTTACGGCCCTCCAGCGCATTCGGGACGGCGGGTGCGTATGCGTGCGTATACCACTGTGGTCGTACCGTGTCCTCCCAGGCGCTGCTGCTCCTGTGACGTCGGATGCCTAGTTTTTGGTCGTAGGACTTTAGGCGCCGGGCGCTTATTTGGGTCGAGTTGTCGAGAGGAGGATTCGGCTGCGGGGGCGTTACAGCCTGCCGCTTTTAGTGTTCGGGACGGCAG